CACATTTTGTCCTTGTGGTTGCGAATATGCAGACTATTAATAATCTTTTTTATTGACAGCCACGCTTTGTCCCAAGGAGATGGCCATGGCAGAGAATTCCTCGCTGCTTTCAAGCCATCTAAATGGCACATGTTGTCGTAGGTCAAAAACACTTTGCCCCAGTTGAGTGGATTTATCCCCTTCAAAATGGTAAACAGCCATGACAGAATGATGATAAACACCTGAGATGGGCTTTCTGACCTATTGTATCATAGATTAATTAATTATTTATAGGTGAGTTCAGAGATTTTACAATATTTATGGACATATGATACATGTACATGTATTAATAGGGTTACCATTAGGCTGACTATAGAACATTTCTTATAAGTGGCCTACTGTACATGTATATTCTTAAATGGTTTCATCAGTTGAATAATTGAACTTCTGACCGAATATTCCAAAACAAGCATCTGGAATAAAATAAAATTCCGATCTTCACCATCTCGAGTCAGTTTCTCTGGCACTTTCCTGTTAAAAAGAAAGAAGTAATTCAGGATAATTCGATTTATGTCGCATTATAGGAGGAAAAGCAAATATGCGTAAGCAAGTTTGAACAGAGACAGGATCGTAAGATTGAGAATTCACCTGGTTAGGTCGACAAATAGTTCATCAGCAGTTTAATGGTGACTGGTTGTGTCTTTTTGTGCTCTGAAATTCTTGCTATTCTTCTGCTGTTTTGCTGCTACAAAACAGCAAACACGAGACTCCCAGCAAAAGTAAGTAAGGCATTTCCAAGTCGTCCTACATTTAATGTGGCTGAACTGCAAAATGATATCAATACGGCCATGATTATGCCAATGCTTACCAGCCGCCATCTTGGATCTACACGTGGTCTAAGAGTAAAGCACTTCCTTTCTTCAAGAGTCAATTATTACACAAACACAATTACCAGTTTCCAGATTGCCCGACTCTTAATTTCTGAGGATATTTGTCCAAATCCAGGGCCTAATCCAATAACAAATTGCTCAATCTGTACACGAACCATAGGTCGAAACCACTGAGCAATAAGCTGTGACTTGTGCACTTTGTGGTGCCACATCAACTGTGGAAATGTGAATCCCGCCAATATAAATGGATGAAACTGGCCGATGATATTTATTGGACTTGTCCTCGCTGCCTTTTATCTGCGTTACCTTTTGCTGTTAGTAATATTGAGCTTGTCAACAACCTCTCCATAGTGAACTCCACACAGACCACTGAAACCATGGGCCAACTACTTCACTCTGCAAACACCTGCTCTCCAAAGCCTGCCTATGGATCAGGAAAGTTTCGATGCTTACTTGCTAATGCTAGATCACTAAGAAACAAATTGCTGGATTTTCAAGCTGCAGTTTATGGTGCAGACTTTGATATCATCGCCGTAACTGAAACATGGTTAAATTTGTGTATCTTAGACCATGAAATCCTTCCCTCAGGATACCAGTTGCACAGGAAAGATCGCCAGGATCGTCGAGGTAGAGGAATTCTGTTTGCATCACGAAGTGATCACGTGGTAATCAGAAGAAACGATCTGGAGACTGACTGTGAGCTAATGTGGAATGAACTACAAACTGCCTCTGGTCTTAAGATTTTGTTTGGTACCTTTTACCGTCCCCCAAATACTGGTAAAGACTACCTACTTCTCCTTCAAGAATCCTGCTCCCGTATAAACTACTTCAATTTCAACAAGATTTGCCTTGTTGGAGATTTCAATCTACCCAACTTTGACTGGATAAATCAGATTCCTCTCTCTTCTGATCAACTATACCTAAAGACCTATGAAATCACGAATGACCTATTCCTCACTCAAGTAAACACATTTGCTACCCGTGATAAAAACATTCTGGACCTGGTTCTAACTTCCATGCCTAACTTAGTTACTGATCTGTCCATGAGTGAAGGGTTTCTTACATTCTGACCACCTCAGCATATCCTTCAATATCTCTACCAAACCAACATGTACCAGAGCTATGGCAAAAGAAATCCTAAATTTCAAAAAAGCAGATATGGATGAACTAAAGAAAACCCTGTTCTACATACTGTGGCATGTTGCTATGTTAGATGATGACATAAACATGAATGTAATCAAGTGGGAGGACCTTTTCTGGGCAGCAGTAAATGAATTTGTTCTTTGCAAAAGGGTCAGGGACAAGCAGACACCCCCCTGGATTGACCCTGAAGTAAAGGCACTGTGCAGAAAGAAGGACAAGGCCAGTTGAACAGCTTTGACAACCAAAAACCAAGACCATATAGACAATTTTAAATATCTGAGAAGAAATGTAAAGAAACTGATCCACAAAAAATACACTGACTACCTTCACAACCTCGCTGATTCAGTGGAAAAAGAACCAAAAAAGTTTTGGAGCTTTTATAGCATTAAAACAAAATCCAGAAAACTCCCACTGGCTATCAAGAGAAACAAAGATGACATAAACCCAGTCACTGCATCTTAAAGAAGAGCAAATCTCTTTAATGATTACTTCCACTCAGTTTACAGACACACCAGTGCTGAGCCCCCACCACCAGGATCCCATCCTGTTGTACCTATTCACAAACTTTCAAGTGTGGCTGTATCTGCTTCTGAAGTAAAATCCATCCTCAACAATCTGGATGCATCATAAAGCCCCCGACCAGATGGATTAACTGCAAGGCTACTTAAGAGCATAAATCCGAAAATTTCGAGAATCGGCCGACAGAAGCAAAATGACGAATTTTTTCTTATTTGACCAAAAGAACCCTTTTGGTGAACTATTTTCAGAGATGATATCAAAAGGTTCGATTTCCTTTTCCTTTCTTCAAAATTTGCAAAAGTTGAAAATTCGGCCACAGGGTCTTCAGCGGCAGGCCTGAGGCTTGAAATTTGGCACATGTTTGACATGCTCATATGGATGTACCAAACATTGTCTTAACATGTCCTTTACACAGCGTGTGGGGCATCTCTTAAACTTTACTGGGGACTAAATTTTGTTTAAAAATGTTTCCTTTTACAAAATAGTTGAACTTCGGAAGCTGAACCATTTACGGACCTAAAGTCATAAGGCCAATATTAGCAAACTTTGAACTTGTCAAATGCTCTCTGTTATATTACAGTCAAGTAAAAAAAATATAACCAAATCAAAGCAGGTTCTTTATTCTACTCGCCGGGAAAAAATTACAAGTGGCCCGTAAAAACTGTTCCGTTGAAAGAATTTTCTGTGAGGTCACTTTAACGCATATCTCCCTTAATGAATTAATTGTTAATTTTTGCGCAATTGTTATTCTTTCCGACCTTTATTTATTTTGTACATTTCCACTAAATCTTTCAAGGTAAAGAATTGAAATAACTTCAAGATAAGTTCAAACACGTTTTTACAACTCAGCTTATCAATGGGCCAATCTGTTTGTTTTTTCAATAGCACTAGTCCTTTATCAGGAGTCATGCAAACTATTTCACACAGTAGGGAGCTTGACTCTGGCTTTGATGGATCCTTTTTGACATGGATCTTATGCAATATAACTAATACTTTTGCTACAACGAGTACAGATAGCCAATCAAGCAATGGAAATACAAAATCCGTGAACTGTGAAAGGGATTTTTTTAAACACAGACAACGATCATAATTTAATCGAACAAGGAACGTCGCGTTTAACTTTACAGTATCACTACCATTAGTAAACACTTGCCTACCTTGTTGTAGTATTTTTAAAGGGCAAAATTTCCATTTACCAAAAAGTTTGACATAGTATATTCCAGAATTGGTGTATATTAGTAAGATGTTATTTATGTTTCTTATTTTATGATTAAATATTTCACTGAGCTTCGGAAATTAAAATAGTAGACATTATTAAGTTAAACAAAAATCCTTGAAAACGTTAATTAAGAGATTCATTCTTAGCTTTGGAATTCTCAATACGTTATTCATCACATTGCTACTTTTTTCATGAAGTTTACCTTGATAAAGATACTACTTTTAGGCCAGTGAAAATACATATTCCCCAATCACACCCCTAAATTGTGTTGCGTGATAATGTAATCAGCAATAACTTGCCTGAGATACGGATCGACTTAACTAGCTACTGAACGTGAGTGGTTCAGGTAAAAGTTATTTGCATCAAACACTTCACTTCACAGCGAGCGCTTTCTGACCAGCTATTTATATTCTATCATGGCATGCGCATGTGGCTATTCATCGCTAGTGGGTGGAGAGTGCGGTTCGAGTAAAGAGAGACCCGCGGATATAAAATGCGTTACCATACAAGAGGGTACAAAGGAATTGTATAAACATCTTGCATTTCACAAAATCAGCGATGATTCCACTGTTGACTCCGAGTGGAAGCTGCTTCTTGCAAGGGCAGGTAACGTGCAATGGTCAATTTACTGTAATCCTAAGATGCCATTTTAACCTGTTTTTTCCAATGTAGCATCACTTTTTTCTGACGAAGGTTGGGCCTTCATCATGGGAATGTTTCGAGGCAAAGTTCGATATCGGGCACGGAACAGGGAGAAAAGAAGTCCCGAGTTCGTCGCCAGGGAAATGAGACACGCCAAAGATGCTGGCGGGGAAAAACTGTTTTCAAGCTCTGAATTTCTTTCCGCCTAGCAGATTTCCTCGTAATTTTCCCGCCTTTCTGCAAAAGAGCGCTCTCAACTAGTTTCCGAAATAGATCTTCGTGCAGTAGAGGAAGAATATAACTTCGCCTCAGCAAGGGAAGCAGTCCTTTCTACCCTAGATTTGCTGCATCCAATAACATATGACCAGTTTAATATTTACAGGTTAGTTCGGCATAGAAAGCTTAGTAAGCTGAAAGTTGGCATACTGTAAATGATTGTTGATGCTTTAAATCTGGAATCACTAGTACCACTTGTCAGGAGAAAAGCTCCTAACCTCACTACTCTTGAGGAAGCTGTAAAAAATGATCATGCACTGGTGGTGTTTAATATTACTGATATCATTAACTCTTTTAAAATGTTAAGAGGACTGTTCTTTGAGATGCCAATTTTAATGTTTTTTCAACCCTCCCTTTAACCTGCAGACCGCCGCTTTGCGCTGTAGTTGTTTTTCATGAGCATAGGGCGTCGGTACTGAGAAAATAGCGTGCTGTGTTACAAGGCACTCTTGCTTTGGTTGACCTCAAAAATCTGCCAGGAGAAAAGACGAAGGAAAGAAGATAGGTAGTGATGGTTTACTGCCTCTCAATTCCAAATTTTTCTTTTATTGGTCTCCTGTCGTTGATGAGTATACATGCGTGACTACTGTCACGCAACAACCCTGAAATGGCAAAACTGTTTGACGGTTCACAATGCAGGTTGACCTTTTTGCATAATGCAGAACTTTACTTAGCAAGCTAAACTGTCATCAAGTGAGAATTTTTGCTCGTGTAGGTTTTAGATTTACAATAGGCCCATCAATTTCAGTGGAAAAGTAGCAGTACGAACAGAAGTGTTAAACACTAAAATCAAATCAGAGGTGAATGCGTCAAGTTTAAAAGTACGCCAGTCAAACAAAGTAGTAAATATTTATCTTGTTTAAGTTTGGTTGCCACATAAACGTTACTGCATGACTGTAAATAAAGGAGATTTATTTACCCCACCGGGGAATAAATGGTTTTATGCATCTGGTTAATGCCAGTCTCCCAGCAAAGGGTTGGGGGGACATCTGGGTCCTTGGGAAACCTATATTTAAGCAGACGAGGCCAGGCTACTGTCCTCTTTTCCCAAACACTCATGCTTTACACACAGTTCGTAATTTTTTGCAAGTAGAGCAGGATTTGTGCAGGATTTGTCTGCTTGACTTCTGGAAAAGAGAGCCCCTAATTCGGAGAGCAGACACCAAAACAAGTTAAGTATAAACATTGTTCTTTACTGAGACGAACTCTTGTCCGTGCAGTAAAACTTGCGGTGTGACTCGATGGCTCACATGCCATGTGCTTTGTTAGTGGGCCATTCCTACGTGTGAAGAATGACCGAATTCATTGAACGTAACCAAGAAGAGGGTTGCTATTTGCACACATTCGGTCTAGAAAGTACGTGTACCGTCAAAACGATTGGAATCGGGGAAAGAACAGTGGACAAACTGATAAAGCATGACTTACAAGACATTCGTGTCACCGCCCCCAATGTTGTGATTTTTGACATTGGCTCAAACGATTTATGCGACGAGCAATCGGACCCTAACACGGTCGCGTTGTCAATTATCGCGCTTGTGGAGATTCTGATAAAGGATGTGAAACTTTGATGTTTAATTTTGTGCCAAGTTTTACCCCGGAAAAAACAACCATTTACAGAATACAATGAAAGGGTTTGGCAATTAAATGGTTTACTAAAGGAAGCTGTCAAAAGCATTCATGCGACGAAGTTCTGGATTCACCGTGGCTTATGTAATCCGTCGCAAAACATTTTTACCCGGGATGGGATTCATTTGAAAGCTGCAGGTCAGCAGGCGCTGTATAGAAGTTACCGAGGATCGATTGTATTTGCCCTGAACTGAAAGAGAGATGGGCATGAACTTATAGCTCAGTTATTAGGGCTCGTATTTCACAGCAGATCTCAGCTATCTGGAATGTTTTTTCGCTGCTGTTTTTCAATCTTTGTTAATTCGGGGCAAACCAAGCTAGATTAGGGGTATGCGTTTAAGATACTCTTGCCTTCCGTTCTAAATGAAATGTAATTAATAATTTTGAGATTATTATGGCCATGGCCTTGGTACTGTGCGTGTGTACAAGATTATGTCTCGTATCGTTAATGTCATAGTTAGTTAGGGTAAAGTGTACCCCCCTCCCATATTTTTATCTCCCGTGGTACTGTGTACCATGAGACTGTGTCCCAGAATATCTCCCGTGGTACTGTGTAGTGTGAGACTGTGTCTCAGAATATCTCCCATGGTACTGTGTACCGTGAGACTGTGTCTCAGAATATCTCCCGTGGTACGGTGTACAGTGAGACTGTCTCAGTATGATATTGTTTATGCTGGGGTACTGTGTTACCCCCGCCCCCTCCCCGTTATCTCCCGGGGTACTGGGTACCATGAGACTGTGTCTCAGAGTGTTATCATTTATGCTGGGGTCCCGGGTTACCCCCTTTATCTCCCTTGGTACTGTGTATCATGAGACAGTGTCTTAGAATATTATTGTTATGTTCCTCAATTTCAATAGTGCATGGGGGATTAAGTGGGTGCTATGTTCCCAATTAAATGGGTGTACCTGACACCCCCTTTTGCAGGTACAAGGGTGCAGTTTCTGGCATGATAAATTTTCGGCAGGGGCTGCTTGCTTCAAGCCAATTATGCAATTACAGGGCCGCTGAGAGAATGAAAACTCAAGGGAGACTCTGGAAAGTCTAATACACATACATGGTAATATCACCAGGGTCTGAACATGCCTTGGGGTGACTAGATATTGGAACATGATGGTACTATATAAAATTTTTTAACATCTGTTAACAGTATGCCTCCAAAAAGGAAAGCTTCTAGCTATGCAACCAGAGTGGCCAGCAGGAGACGTGTGGCAGAAAATAATCCTCACCCGAGCCATTTAACTGTTCACCCAGCTGCTGGAGAGGTTCAACAACAGAGAAGGGGTACGAATCAACCCCCAGCACAAGAAGGGCAAAGTGTAAACACTGGCTGGTTAGAAAACCTGGGAAAAAACATCGCAGCTGCCGTGCAAGAGTTTGCAGGATGCCGGAATCAAGGTGACAAACCCCCAAGCACCAAGCCAGCCAGAAATAGAGTTTGTCCCGGACGCACTGCAAGCAAGCAACACTGACAGCCCTCAANGAGACTCCCAGCAAAAGTAAGTAAGGCATTTCCAAGTCGTCCTACATTTAATGTGGCTGAACTGCAAAATGATATCAATACGGCCATGATTATGCCAATGCTTACCAGCCGCCATCTTGGATCTACACGTGGTCTAAGAGTAAAGCACTTCCTTTCTTCAAGAGTCAATTATTACACAAACACAATTACCAGTTTCCAGATTGCCCGACTCTTAATTTCTGAGGATATTTGTCCAAATCCAGGGCCTAATCCAATAACAAATTGCTCAATCTGTACACGAACCATAGGTCGAAACCACTGAGCAATAAGCTGTGACTTGTGCACTTTGTGGTGCCACATCAACTGTGGAAATGTGAATCCCGCCAATATAAATGGATGAAACTGGCCGATGATATTTATTGGACTTGTCCTCGCTGCCTTTTATCTGCGTTACCTTTTGCTGTTAGTAATATTGAGCTTGTCAACAACCTCTCCATAGTGAACTCCACACAGACCACTGAAACCATGGGCCAACTACTTCACTCTGCAAACACCTGCTCTCCAAAGCCTGCCTATGGATCAGGAAAGTTTCGATGCTTACTTGCTAATGCTAGATCACTAAGAAACAAATTGCTGGATTTTCAAGCTGCAGTTTATGGTGCAGACTTTGATATCATCGCCGTAACTGAAACATGGTTAAATTTGTGTATCTTAGACCATGAAATCCTTCCCTCAGGATACCAGTTGCACAGGAAAGATCGCCAGGATCGTCGAGGTAGAGGAATTCTGTTTGCATCACGAAGTGATCACGTGGTAATCAGAAGAAACGATCTGGAGACTGACTGTGAGCTAATGTGGAATGAACTACAAACTGCCTCTGGTCTTAAGATTTTGTTTGGTACCTTTTACCGTCCCCCAAATACTGGTAAAGACTACCTACTTCTCCTTCAAGAATCCTGCTCCCGTATAAACTACTTCAATTTCAACAAGATTTGCCTTGTTGGAGATTTCAATCTACCCAACTTTGACTGGATAAATCAGATTCCTCTCTCTTCTGATCAACTATACCTAAAGACCTATGAAATCACGAATGACCTATTCCTCACTCAAGTAAACACATTTGCTACCCGTGATAAAAACATTCTGGACCTGGTTCTAACTTCCATGCCTGACTTAGTTACTGATCTGTCCATGAGTGAAGGGTTTCTTACATTCTGACCACCTCAGCATATCCTTCAATATCTCTACCAAACCAACATGTACCAGAGCTATGGCAAAAGAAATCCTAAATTTCAAAAAAGCAGATATGGATGAACTAAAGAAAACCCTGTTCTACATACTGTGGCATGTTGCTATGTTAGATGATGACATAAACATGAATGTAATCAAGTGGGAGGACCTTTTCTGGGCAGCAGTAAATGAATTTGTTCTTAGCAAAAGGGTCAGGGACAAGCAGACACCCCCCTGGATTGACCCTGAAGTAAAGGCACTGTGCAGAAAGAAGGACAAGACCAGTTGAACAGCTTTGACAACCAAAAACCAAGACCATATAGACAATTTTAAATATCTGAGAAGAAATGTAAAGAAACTGATCCACAAAAAATACACTGACTACCTTCACAACCTCGCTGATTCAGTGGAAAAAGAACCAAAAAAGTTTTGGAGCTTTTATAGCATTAAAACAAAATCCAGAAAACTCCCACTGGCTATCAAGAGAAACAAAGATGACATAAACCCAGTCA